CGTCCGTCGTTGTGTCGTTGTCGGCGTCGTCGTCCATCGTCGTCGTCGTCGTCGTGTCGTCCGTCGTCGTCCGTCCTCCATGGGCTTTGCTGCCATCCGTCGTCCGTCGTGGCGGACGACACGACGGACGCGGCAGAGGCCACGGACGACGACGGCGGCCGCATGCTGTCGACGGAAGATGCCGACGACGGCGGCTGGCGGCGGGCGCCGGCGACGGCGAGCCGGATGGCCGATTACCACGGCGGAGGGCGAGGGCAGCGATCACCACGGCGATTGCGACGACGACGACAGATCGACGACGACGACAGACCGACGACGACGACAGACTGACGAGGACAGACCGACGACGACGACGACAGAAGGACGGCTGACCAACGACGACAGACCGACAGCGACAGACCGACGACGACAGACCACGACGACAGACCGACGACGACAGACCGACGACGACGACGACGACGACGACGACGAGTGCTGAGGCTCCCGAGCAGGCACTCGTGGTCACCTCAATGCTTCCACTGGCCCTCACCGAGCCAGCAGGACCACGTGGCGGCGAGCAAACGGGGCCGGGATCGCGCAAGCCTCCCGAGAGGCACGGGGGCAGAAGGACGGAAGTTGTCCGATTGCGACGTCCTCCCGCCTGCGGAGTGCTGAGGAGGGCGGCGGACGACGAGGACGGCGGCGGTTACGATGGGGAGGATCGGGATGATTGGGGGTAAGCGGGGCTGCCGGGGGAGGGAGCAGGGAGGAGGAGTGGATGAGCGATTGGAAGGAACGGCATCAATAAACAACTCTTGGAGCTCCGTGCGGATTTCTCGGGTCTGCTGGCGGCGCCGTCGAAGCCGACCCTGGCGCGCGCAGGTCCAGCTACCCGCGCGGAGCTCCGAACACTTGTGTGTATGTAGAGCTTTCCGCTTCTAGGTTTGGGGGATCAATACTTCGAGGAGTGAGAGGATTGGGAAGGGAACGGGGTGGAGGAGAGAGGAGGAAGGACGGAGGAAGGAGGGATGCCAGAAGGGGGGGAGGAGGGGGAGCAGCATGATCAGAGTAACGCCAGTACGTATCAAAGATAGTGCAATACACCAGGGGAGGAATAACCACCCGGACCCGATAATTGGCGTTTACTAAACGGCCTTGGGCGTTTACTGAACAGTCCTGCCCTGTTCGATTCCGTCTTTGGGTGCGTGTGCTAAGCGGTTTCGATTGTCGGGGTGGTTGTTATGGGGGTGGATTTGTTGCCCTCTAATACATACACCCGCATGCCCAACGTCTCCTTCCCCTACGCACGCCCCTGCAAGAATTCTTCCTCACAGCCCGAACGCCCTCCTGGAAGACTGCGGGTGCCTGCCGTGCAGGCGAGCGCCTCGCTTTGACGAGGAGCCGCCGCCAATCTCTCACCAGCTACTGGCAGGAGCCCGGGCATTCGCGAGGGCGTGCATCTGAGATCTCATTCCTGTCTTCTGCCCTGTCCTCACCCGCGCTGGGCACCTGTGCCAGAGTTTCGCCGTCGTCTCTGGTAAGGCTTGCGCGCGTGAGAGTCTCCTTCGACAGTCGGCGGCGAAGGGTGGCCGCCGTTTATTCGACGAATGCTGGAGATTTAGTATGTAGTCTGTCCCAGCCCTCCGTTGTTGGGTTCTCCTTTTGAGCAGGGCACTGTGGCCGCGTCTTCCGCCCGCCTCCCCCCCCCCATCCCCCAGGGTGGGGGCTGCGATCTGCGGAACCGTCGCCACTTTCGAGGGCTGCTGCTTGGGGGGTCAGCACTGTGACGCAGAACGCGGACTCCGATCAGACCTCGCCATCCCTG